TCACAAATTTCTACAAAAACCAAACTAAAACACCTAAAAAAAAGACCAAAAATCAAACAATAAGAAGAAGAAAAACCCAAACGAATCAAAATCCAGCAAATTTATTGGATTCAACGAACCTAGTTGGGTTCTTAGGTTCGCTTGGTTCGAAAGAACCCAACAAAATTATTGGGTTCTCAAATCCAGCAGAAGTTGAAAGGGAGGAGGAAAGAGAAAGGGAAAGAGGGAAAAGAGGGGAAAAAAAAAGCTAAACAAAGGGAATATTTTTTGGGGTAAGATGAGTTGGAATATTATGTGGACAAAATTGTTGGCAACGTCATATGTTTTTACCAAATTGTTAATCTTTCGTGTGAAAATTTTAAATATGTCATGCTTTTTTCTTCAATTAATGTGGAAATATTAACAGAAGGATTAAGTTGGGGCCAAAATGAGAAATAGTAGTGGCCAAAATGAGAAATAGTAGTGGCCAAAATGAGAAATAGTAATGACCAAAATGAGAAATAGTAATGACCAAATTCAAAGATTTTTTGAGTTGATGAACTCAATTGGAGGTTTGTACAATAGCTGAGGGGGCATTTAACCAAAAAGAAATGGACAAGGAGATGAAAGGAAGGTGCAGGTAACACGTCAATTAGTTTTTCTAAGGTTAAACCTTTAATTTAATTTCTCAATTATTGTATTAACTTTTAAATTGGTTTTTAAACTAAAATAATTTTTAGTTTGATCATAAAATTTTTAAATTTAGTTCTAAAATGATTCCTATGTTAAAAAACAACGAACATATCCTATTATTAAGTGATATGTGGTGGTTGAGTAATAGCCTTCCATCATTAAATAATAGACATCTCAATTATTTTTTAATAAAGAATTAATTTAGAGTCAAATTTAAAATTTTTAAGGATCAAATTCAAACTTTAGAGATTAAATTAAAAAAATTTTTAATTAAAGGACCACATGAAAGATCTATAAAATAGTTAAGGGACCAATTGATAGTTTAACCTTTTTTTAGATAGGGATGTCAACGGCCCGTGGAACTAGGGAGTCCCTCCCATCCCCATTCCCATCCCCGTCCTGGTTCCATCCCCGCAAACGGTGGGGACGGGATCCCCATGAGAATTTTTAATGGAGATCAGATTTTATCCCTTATTTCCATTCCTTACAGGGAATGGGAATTTCGCAGAGATATCATTTCCTACCAATTAATATTTAAATATATAATTTTTACATTAAATATAAATAAAAATTAATTTAATATAAATAATTAAATTAATAAATTTGTTCTAAACATGAAGAAAGATTAATCAAACATAAATTGTTCTAAACATATTCTAAACATAAGCTGTTCCAAACATATGTTGTTTGAATTGGTGGTAGAGTTTGAAATGATCGATCAACACTTTGTTCCTGTGTATGAAACATTTATCACCTAAAAATAAATTTTTAAAAAAAAATTATGCTTTTATATTGAAATATAAAATAAACTTTGAACTTTTTTCTAGTTAATAGAATTTCTTTTTTTTTTTGTCACAATTTCACTAGAATTCATAGTAAACTCTAATAATTAAATAGACAACTAAGCATTCACAGTTTTCTCAATTTCTTGATTTTACTAAGAAGCTACTACACTTTTTTATGTTATATTTATATCAGTATATGTAAAGAAATTAATTAGGCAATTCATTAATAAAAATGGCTATGAGCAGTCAATAAATCTAGCAAATTCTAGAAAATCTAGACTTTCTCTATGTTAAATCAACTCATAAGCAAATTATTTAAACTTCTTACCGTTTGGATCTATAGCTTGTAGCGGTAGGTGAAGTGGTTCGGCAGCAAAGACAGTTCAGCAGC